GTAAAACATGCAGGGCTGCGGCCCTCCAGGACCAGGATTGCTCACCCCTGCTTTAATGGATCCAGAGAAGCTCAGAACATTGAATGTTTCTTACCTTGTGTCTTCCATTCGAGTGATGCAAAGGTTTGTTTAAAAACTCAGTGTCTCTTTGGGTAGAGTGGGCCCACTTAAGAGACCCCCACTCACATGGTATCCACCAACCAACCAACCCTTCCTTGAGGTTTTATGAGTGAAAAGAACCAGTTCTGTCTTGTTTGGAWTGACAGAAAGTTCCTGCTCCTGGCACAGTTTAGCCCCCTCTGCATTAGATTACATACAGCACCCAGGCAGAAGCCTTCTATAAGTATGACCAAGTCATCTGCATACCCMTGTGTATGGAGTCTAGATCCATTCAACTCATTTAGTAAGCTGTCGACAACCAGGAGCCAACACAGGGGCGTGATTACTCCCCACTGCGAACAGCCCCGTCTGAAGTTATTGGTTATTGAACAGTAACAGAGTTGAAGATGCTTTCCTTGTCTGAAACATGAAAAYGAGCCAATTTGTAATTGTCTCATCCACRCCTTTGCTGGCAGGTGCTTCWACAGGTACATTGTAAAATGCCACCTGTATGTCCAAGAAGCAGCCAAGTGCATATTGTCCAAGTACCAGACTGAGTTCTACTCACAAAACAATATGGTATGGTTGTTTCTGTAGAAAGACCTGCCTGATATGTATGCTGTTTAGGACTTAAATGTGATAGCATTAAAACACCATCCCTTACATCTATCAACCTCTCAATTCCCTTTAGCATGAAATATGTCAACTGACCAGGTAGCTCTTACCCACTCCAATGGTTATTGATCTCTTTTCTTGCACCAAACACATCTGAACAGGTTCACCTCAACACTGCTCATTCTAAAACAAAGGTGTACTTTTGAACATTTAAATGGAGTTCTGAAGAGATTCTTTGTGTGCCTCAAATACATGTGGGTAAAACTCTAAGAACCGTGCAACATAATACAGTATTTGCTTGTGTTGTTTAGCTCAATAATGCTCAGTGGAATGTCCTTCTCTAATCCAATTTYAGAATCTGTTTTTGGTTTTGAATAACTCATTTTCATGATTTTATCCAATTCTTTATCCAAAATCCAATCGGATAAACTTTGAACAACTTCCTTATGTAAACATATGTAAAACATTAATAAGAAAACAAACAAAACAGGTAGGATTCTGAAATCCACATGAACCTGTTAGAAAAATTACCTGACACTTGAATTCAAAAAAATAATTTTAAGTGAATAAAGTAAATATTTAATAGGATTTAGAAAGATTATCAAATCAAAACATAAAACAAATTAATTATACAATTCATCATCATCATCATCATCATCATCATCATCATCATCATC